ACCAAAGTTTAAACTACATTTATTTTTTATCCGATTTCTTTCTTTTTTCATCTATTTAAAGAATGTTATATTATAAAGAAAGTGTCAACAGAACAGAATGCTGGCCACATGGGCGTACCGGCTTATTGGCTTATTATAAAAAATAAATGGGACAAATTCTGTCAATTTTGTGGGAAATTCTGTCAATTTTGTGGGAAATATGCTATCTAATAGGAATTTTTCGTAACCACTCCTCCCCCCCGTCGTCAACAATTTTGGAAAGTTTCTCCAGAAAATGTTTTTGACAACGCGGGCACAATCCGAAAAAGTCGGGCAAATTTCATTCCCCCCCCCCCCCCCCCCCGCAATTTTTTCCTTCCCGTACGCCCATGGCTGGCCATGTTCAATTATGTCACTATTTTATCTGGCAGGTTATGACATGCTTGATCAATGTTGTCATTGACAATCACAATGGTTGCTTGTCCATCTGTTGTAGCCTTGAAGTTGCCAACTGTAAATGTAAACCTTGCTGTCCACACTTTCTAGGATGCAGCACCTTAGTCTCCATCTCAGACATGCAAAATAGCACCTAGTTTCTTGCATTGAAACCCTGACAATTCAACATGTTCATTTGGATTAAGAAAATTATATTATTATAATCATCTACCACGTTATTGTTTAAATGCTGGGTTGTACAATGCAATTCACACCATGCAGGTACGAAATATTTTAAAATAGTAAGTCAACCCAGCTAATTTTAGATTTCAGACAGTGGCATTAGCTTGAACGTTGCTTCACTGATTGGCGTACTCGGCCAAACACCGGACGAAGGCTTTTTCACTCAAATCAATAATGGCTCTTGCCTTGGTTTCTATTAATACTGGGTCCACAATTATCATGCTGAAATATATTTTATCTTGTTACATTTCTACACATCCTATGTGTATGACAACATTGTCCTGCTTCTGACAACCATGAACTGTATATGATAATTGTACTATTTTAAATAATTATGCCAGCCAGACATTAACTATTATTTAACACAAAAAAACTAATTGATCCAAAAAAATATTATTTGAAGTTAAATGCATTTCATTGTGATATTAACACAAAGTCTACCCGTTTATATTGCTTAAAAGATTACAACAAGATTTCTATTTCCATCTGCAGCTTATACAAAAATATATGTAAACCATGATGTCTTGATGTTTTTCTATCCACATGCAGATATAGAATATCTATGTCAACTGACAACATGTAAATTATTTGATAACAATTTTAATATCCGGGTTAAGATTCTCTCAATTGTCCAAAAAAGCTGAATTGTGAATCGTTTAACCGCCTTTAGCGATCGTAGCAATATAAATTCGCTAATTCTCATAATTATTCACTCCGCGATCCGCCATCTTGGATGACAAATCCTCCCCACGTGCATACTCTAGAGATAAAATAGCTGCGCAAGCAAGATGCGCAGAACGGCTCAACCATGTCGGGTTTTTGCAGGCCTTTCACCGATTCTGTACCAGGAGATGTCTGCGGAGGAGGCTAGATACAAATTTGCTCGCCGTTCAACTAATTAACTGACTAATCTTTATAGTCAGGGACGTCGCTAAGGAATCAACATTGGGGTTGTCGTCTTGTTTTGACCAACTTTTCTTATTGAAATTTGACCAAGTAATACAAATTTCTACCCAAAAATGTTGTGCACGGGGGGGAGGGGGGGAGAGGGGTGCGAAGAATCTTAAAAAAAAATTTCCGGACTAACACTAGCAAAGCTTACGACGTTTTACCAAATTTTGCACATTTTATCTCAAACTTTAATCAAATTTTACCAAGTTTATTCTCAACCTTTCACAAGGAAAGCTGTTGCCAAATCTGCCCTACAACTTTGACCAACTTTATTTAACAAAATATTATTATTTTGACCAACTTTTGAATTAATGTGGTTATCAGGGGATATTTAACAAATATTCGCCGAAGGCGAAGGCGAACTGTTTAGAATATAAACACAATAATGGAATGATCTTTTTACCAGACGTGGAATTAAAAAAATAAGGTGGACTTGAATGAGGGATTCGTGCACTTCACTTGGTGGAATTAATATTGGAATGTTAGGGTTTGTAATCCAAGTGAGAATATATACATTTTAACTAACCAGGAACGACTGCGAAAAATGCAGCACAAGGTCCTGTGGTAGGAATTGAACCTACGGCCCTGCGATTCCGGTGCAGCGCTCTAACCAACTGAGTAACAGAGGCCAGCTGTTGAGCTTTAACCGTAAATTCATGTATATATAGGTAATCGGGTGTGCGGGTTGTTATAAGGTGGACTTGAATGAGGGATTCGTGCACTTCACTTGGTGGAATTAATATTAGAATGTTAGGGTTTGTAATCCAAGTGAGAATATATACATTTTAACTAAGTCGTTCCTGGTAGTTAAAATGTATATATTCTCACTTGGATTACAAACCCTAACATTCTAATATTAATTCCACCAAGTGAAGTGCACGAATCCCTCATTCAAGTCCACCTTATAACAACCCGCACATCTGATTACCTAAATATACATGAACTTACGGTTAAAGCTCGACAGCTGGTCTCTTGTAGCTTAGTTGGTTAGAGCGCTGCACCGGAATCGCAGGGCCGTAGGTTCAATTCCTACCACAGGACCTTGTGCTGCATTTTTCGCAGTCGTTCCTGGTTAGTTAAAATGTATATATTCTCACTTGGATTACAAACCCTAACATTCTAAAATTAAAAAAATAGTTTCTGTTTAGCATTAATTTGTTCAGGAAATAGCTGAAAAAATAAGCAAAATGGAATTTAAATCTATTGCTCGAATGCCTCGAAATAAAGTTTTAATACACCTTTCTATTCTCTCCATGGCCAGAAATGAAGGACAACATGGCTGACAAGCATGCGCGTTAAGCTTACACCAAATAAATTCAAAATGGCGGCGTTATATAGATTTGATAAGAGAAAATTCAATATACGCAGTTTCTGTTCGATCCCGTAATGAAATTACACGGACCCACGTCTAAACATTTATCAAATAAGGCCAGTATTAACTCCCAAAAATCTAGCGACAATCGGAGTAGCGTAAAAATGTTCCCGAGAGATTTATATTTCTACTTCTCGCTTTGTATATAAGCGCCTAATAAATCGACATGATTTGCCGAAGTGAGGTTTTCCAATACGTAAATTTGGCCGACATATGGTCGACTTTTCGCACGGTCCCACGTCTACGTATATTCGAGGTGCAGCGGCAATACTTTCCTTTTAGCAGCATTTAAAGGCTCAACGGCTTGCTTAAACCTGTTCCCGAACGCCTTGAAACATAGCATTTTCATGCCGCAGATTCGTCAAAAATTAGTCCACCAAGCGCTGGGAAATAGTCGCTAAACTAGCATAAACAAGCTAAATATGCTCGCCACTTCGCTTCTTGCTGCCATTTTACATTCCTGAGTTGTTTTGAGTTGTTACTAGGATACCAGGGCCTATACCGCTGTATTATTTTTAAATTTGCTCGTATATTCATAAAAACAAGCGCGGCAAATTTAATATATTGGTTTGTGTTGGCGAAGATTCGTTCTGAAATTTCAATAATAAAGGGGATTACTGTTGCCAGAATTGGTATTTACGTTTATTTAGGCTTGATTATAGCTATACATAGTGTTTTGCATAAGAGCGATCTTGCAGAATATCCGTCAGGCTACTTTTGAAGACCTCACTTGTTATAATGATAAGATGATACGAAGTGAAAATGATTACGTAATAATTGTATACTCACGCTATTATAAAGCGTGGGTAAGCTATATTTTGCGTTATTGCGCGCGTGTTATGATAACAAGTGAAATATTTAGAAGTGGACGGGTGTATTCTGCAATAATTCCCCTTATAGAATCTAACCGCCATTTTGAATTTTTGAGATTTTGAGCCCACAGGTCAACCCGCTGGCTGACTTCGATTTCTTGCCATGCTTTACAAGTTTCGAAACATAACATATCAAAAGAAATCGTTTAAATCTATTGCTCGAATGCCTCGAAATAAAGTTTTAATACACCTTTCAATTCTCTCTTTACAAGTTTCGAAACATAACATATCAAAAGAAATCGTATGGTACAAATTGAGATAATTATCTATAGAATACAAAAAAAATGTTTTTAAAATAATATCAAGGCAAAGTTTTTTCCAATGCAACAGCCAGATAGTTTTTGTTATTTGTTATTTGTTTGAAGTGAATGTTTCGGAGTTTTAAATAAGTTTTAAATTTTCCGTGGATATGATTGACTAACCCACACGTGGAAAATATTACCAGGCAAGCTATCATCACTGAGGGTAATATAATATTCCACCGAACCGCCGGGCGGGGGTTTAAAATTGATTTTTCAAAAACTCATTAATAATTCATGAACAGTACAACCTATCATATTGTCGATATCAATCAAATGCATACACCTTTAAAACCAGTAATACATCCTAGTATTAAAAGCCTGGGGGGCTGTATTTGATTTCATTCCCAGGGGAGAGAGGGGCTGAGTGTGTTTTCACTTCATTAGTATTCTTATATAAAATGTCACCCTTATTAGTATTCTTTATATAAAGAATATTCTTTATATAAAGAATACTTTTATCTAAAGAATACTAATGAGGTTAAACAACTTCATACCCCTGCGATTCAATAAATCTAAAAGCCTGTAATCCCACAACATTTTTCCTTCGTCCTCTGTATGGTGTCCCAGAACTGCCAACACTAAAAGGTACAATTTAACTATTTGTTTTTTATAATTTATTTATCAATTTAATTTTATTTATAATTAATAAACGTTTCATTTTAGAAAACAAAATATTTTAAAAATATTTTAATAAATTTTTTTATCGATAGCGGCCCTTGTTGCAGGTGTGATTGTTTCTGAATTTTTCAATTCCCTGTAATGACATATTACTCGGACAGTACATGTACAGGTTGTCTTCTGATAAGAGATTTTATGATGCTATTTCTGGATCACACAACATCATACCTGCCCCTTGAATGTCTAGTAACATTAATTCCCCATTCCTTACGTGGAACCATAAATGAACCAGGCACTCAGCTTTCAATGACAAGTCATCCACTCTTGCACAAATTGTCCCATCATTATTAACATACTTTCGAAATTTGCCTTCGATGAACTCCTCGATGGTGACATATTCTGATGAACTCTCAATCCTACCCATATAAACTTTGTTGCAAGAAAATGTTGTGCCAAATTCACTTAGGCATTTGGTGGCAATAGAAGACCGAAGCTGCTCCGCAAAATTGCCAGCTAACATATGGGTCTGGACAATTTTCTTTGAGTGATCTTCAGCCGATTGTCCTGTTTCCTGTAAGCATGCCAAGATTGCAGGTAAATATTTCTTGACCACCCACTGTTGGCCTTTGAAATCATCAGTAGAACTTGTTGCTCTATAAGCCCTTCTAAACCCTCCCTCTCCGAAATGCTCTTTGGAAACTACAAAGTCTGCTTTCACTGGTAGCACAGACCAAGTCATAAACTCTTTGTCGAACTTAAAAATGTCTATCACAGTGACTTCACTCTCATTTAAGAAAGGCAAAACTTATAATACTTACTGTACTTTAGTTATTATTAATACTTACTTACTTCATATTATTAATATATACTGATTATTAATACTTACTCATTATTTTCGACTTTTCTAAGTTTTAACATAGTTGATATCGACAAGCTCTTGGGGGAAAATGAAGCTTGTTTTGGTACGTTTGGCAGCAATGAGGAAACAGCACACAAAGGACGAGAATGTAACACACTCGATATTCAGTTACTGCGAGAGAAGCTGAGGCTGGCTTGACTGGACAAGTACTGCGTACTGTGAGAGCCATAATCACTATCACTGTCACCATTGTTACGTCTACGGGGAACAAATCGTACATAATATAAATAGTACAAGTCGGGAATACTCTTCAAATCTGGTATCTGTGCCAATTCATTGCATGGAGGTCCTCGCTCTCTTGCAAGGATGTCAATTGCCGTTCCTTTCTCCGTTAACAGCTTCTGTCTTACCGTAGTTTTTTGTTCATAGTTTGCCCACAACTGCGAACTCATTTTGCAGCAGTAAACGTGCTAGATTTCCTCACTCGACTTTGTCACGACGTATTTCCGCCATATTGAATATGGGATAGTTGCGAAGGAGGCTGGGGACGAGTTGGAGCGCAAAGGATTGTGGTATACTATTGGCAACCCTGGGCCGCTAACAATAAAAAATTTTATTAAAATATTTTTAAAATATTTTGTTTTCTAAAACGAAATCTTTTTTAATTATAAATAAAATTAAATTGAAACAAAAAACTATTGAAAATTGATTAGCGATAAATAAATCATGAAAAATAAATATTAGTTAAATTGACTTTTTTTGTGTTGGCAGTTCTGGACCACCATACCTCTGTCATTCCTTCTTTCTTGGGCCTCTTTTACGTATTGGCAAAACCTTCGTAATTCGCTTGTCTCATTTCACCATCCAAGGCCGGTCTGAAAGTAGCAAATCTAAAGCAAATATGTTAAAGCAAATGATTGTGGCCCAATTTTTTCACTAAATGCCTCAATTATCTAGAATACTTACTGCATGCCAATTACTGTCTTTATGCCTGTCATCCGTCTTGTCCTAAATCATAAACGCATTTACACCAATACACTCCGAAAAAGGGCGTTGAATACCACAACAAATTCTATAAAGCGTTCGATTAAAGCGTTCGAGGAGGAAAACATTCTCCACCTCTTTACACACCTCCATTACAAATTTCGGTAACCAGAAATTAAGTGTCTCTGCCGACATGTTACACACGTCGATATCCAAATCTCGAATTTTTGAACTGCCATAACTGAGTTGCCTTGTTCGTCGGAAGCTTTCTCAGCTAATCTTTTTCCGTGCCACTCTGAAAAAATATTCACAGTTGACCATTCAGTAACGCCACGGGTTGGCTTTGGCACGGCAGTTTCTGGCAGTTGCGTCTCTTCTTCGGCACTTTTGAACTTCCTTAATGTTCGGTTCGACGCCATGGCCTATACCCGTATCATTTCTCGTCACGAAGCGGATAATTTGAATAAACTCTTAAGCCTGTTTTCCACTTAATCTGCATCATAGTTAAACGCAGCGTATTCTTTTGTCTCAACCTAAATAGTTCTGCCCTCGCCAGTGGTGCTCATAAACAAAGAAATACGCTACGTTTCGCAACGTTACCGATTAAGTGAAAAATTGCCTTTAATCGTAAAACAACATGTAATTTGTATTTTCACATGGCAATACAAATATCTAACTGATAAACATTATTCTCTACAGTGTGTCTGAAAAAAAGTGAACCTTTCAAATTCAAATTAGCTATCACGTGTATTGTAGTAATTTAATTTTTTTTTATTTTATTTTATTTTATTTATTTATTTTTTTTATTTATTTATTTTTTTTATTTATTTATTTTTTTTGTTATTTTTTTTTTTTAATTTTTTAATTTTATTTTTTTAGCTCTAATTGCTTTGAATTAATGGTTGGGTAAGAACACAAGGTCTTGTACTCATGGGACGAAACTCAAAGAAAAAAAATTAGAAAATATAATAGTTTTAAGAGTTTTGTCCAATGAATACACAGCAAAATCCAAAATTCTTAGGAAGATAAAAATTCTAGTTTCAAGCAAGACATTGCTTGAAAAAAGATATGAAATAAATTTTGTCTTACCAAGCAAAACAATTTACTTAGAACAAGTACATTATTATGTAGTTGCTCGGAAAAGACGTGGTAAATTGTTAATTGCCAAAAATAATAATTTAGAAGCATAAATTCGCCAACCAAGAAACAACTTGGGATTTGAAAAGAAAAATCAATTAATTTTTCACTTACCAAGAATAATAATTTACTTAAAACAAGCATAAATTCACATACTAAGAAAACTTTGGCACTTGAAATGAAAAAGCAAGTAAATTTTACTTGCCAGAAATAACCGTTTACTTAAAATAAGATTAAATTCACTCATCAAGAAAATATAATCGTTACTTAAAGTGCCGGTATCACTTGTAAGCCTACTCTGGGGCGGTAAATCGCTGCGATATAATGCGATTTTGGTCGATTTTAGGCGATTTAAGGAAAAACTGGGACTTTCAAGCACTGCGATTTAATGCGATTTTAGGCGATCTAAGGCGATTTAAGAAAATTTTTATATTTTAGGGATTGCAATTTAGGTGTTTTCAAAGGAATTGAATTTTATATTTTGCTCCGGTTTCCTCCCACAAGGCAAAATTGGCAGGGTGGGTTAGGATAAACACAGTTAGGAAAGTTATATCATATCCTCATTGTTCCAAAGATAAATAGTCTAGGCTAACATAAGTAATCATAGTACTTGATGTAATCGGTCACTGAAAAGCCCCAATGTGGGGAGTGAGCTGAATAATAATGTAATGTTTCCACACACATATGCATTGTATGAAGCAAAATACAATTATTAGAACATGTATGTATATTTTATATAAAGCTAGGTTAACTAATTATTGTATTTAACCTGATTCACATATAAAGCTCAATATTCATGAACTTTTCATCCATTCTCTATTTAGAAGCCATTGGGGTTCATCTTGTGGGGATCATGTGGTCATTCATGGCTACATTATATACCACAAATATTGTAAACAGTTAATAGACACTACTTAAGGGGCATGTACTACACATGTCTTAAACTTTAATATTATTAATTTATGTCTAGTTAAAATTGCAAAATATAATAAATATTTGATTTCCAAATTAACACAAGGGGTAGGGGGTAGAAACACACAATGTATTTATACAGTATAACTGAATAGGCTATAATCCCATAAATTACCTTGTCACCCTTGTAAGCAAAATTGTCTTGTTTTGTATCATGTCAAAACTTCTTTATTTAGCTTGCATTTTATTTAAACTGTTTTAATCTCGTGCTTTGTTCACGCTACAAACATATTTATAAAGTATTCGAAAACTGTCGGCGTAATGCCGTAATGTTTAAATTACATGAGGTATATCGTATATAAATTAAAAACAAAATAATACAGTGTTAATTTACAAATGGCGCACTACATCGTGGTTTTAGGTTCTGCAAACAAACAACAACAAAAGATATATTGTATGGTATGTAAGATGTAATCATTGTTTTACTGTTTATTGTATATACAGGTCTGGAAAATTTAATAGACGAGAGTTGCAAATCGCTCATAACCTCACGTATATTTTTCGTTTGATAGCCACTATAATTTAATATAACTAGGAGCTAGAGTATAACCATGCACATGTCAAAGTACAACCATTGTATACAATGCAGTGCTCGATCTTACATGCAACAGTGCACAAATTACACGATGACTTTATTATATAAATCAACACTCGTACTCATTGACTTTGGTAGTCTCCTACTGTTGTTATAATTAACAGCAATTAGGCTTGGAGAAGCCATGCAGATTATAGATTAATTTGTAGCCCAGCCTCCATAGTCCATATAAATTGTAACCCAGCCTCCATTTACACCAATAATGAAATTAGTTCATTCTGGTAACTAGCTCAATTTTGTTGCTGGTAGTGTATTGGATCTATGAGGGGGGGGCAAGGGTATTTTCGTGACTCGTGATTAGCAATTATTCGTGATTCGTGATTTGAAGAAATGCCATTCCGTGAATCGTGATTAATATGCGTGCCGTGAATCGTGATGAGCTAAAAAGCTAGGTAGGGTTTTGAATTTACCAATATTTTACTCTAACTTGTGAATGTTTACGTTTAAAACTCAGCCCAAATTTAATATTATGGGGAAAAAATGAACAAATTTCTTGAGGTCTTTCTTGAGGTTTCTTCGTTTCATCGGTAAATGTCGTTATTGTATTCCTTGGTACCTCTTCGTAAATGTTTCGTAATGCCTCGCAATGATTTCCATAGTCCTTTAATTAAACGGCTCTAATGTTAAAGTCAGTATGTGTTAAACGGTTTCAGACTTTGTTACGCTTCTGTGCTTCTAAAAATCGTGAAAATGAAATTTCGTTTTTCGTGACTCGTGAAATCGAGAAATGATCTTTGTGAATTCGTGACGAGACCTCCCCTTCCCCCGCATCTATGGGTCTTTCAGATCCCAAAATTACCTAATTATTGTAAAGTCTGCATAAAGCAGAAAAAGGCTCTGTTTTTGTCAATGACCTGTGCCTATTGAGTGACCAAATATTGTCAGCCTAATCCACTTATTTGATTGCTAATTCATGTTGCATTACTTTCAATTGCAAAGCACCTGGATTACATGATTTTCCCGTAAAATAGCAGCAATTGATAAACTTGAGCATATGGGCTGAATATATCAAGCAGAATGCATGTTGGCGATTTTAAGCGATCTTAGGCGATTTTAGGCGATTTAAGAGAAATTCGACAATTTTAACCCGCGATTTAATGCGATTTTAGGCGATTTAGGGCGATTTAAGGCGATTTACCGCCCCAGAGTAGGCCTACTTGTGGTATCTTTACGGATTTGAAAAGAGCAGAAAATTTAGATCATAAGTTCTAGAATCTTTTCTTATTTAGTTCAATAATTCCATGTTTATATATAGACCAATAAACATGGCAATTTTCAGGCCTTTTCGCTAAATTTCCGTCATGCCTAAATTTGTTTGGAGGCCTTGGAACGCGAGCTTAAACAAACGTTATAGTTTAAATTACAATTTGCCGTTATAACTTACTAAAATTACTAAACTTCCAAGAAATGTTGGTTTATTTATCTCAAAATCGTCTTCCAATACTGACAAACAAAAGATTTGGGGGCACCGACTTCCAGGGCCACTTTAGGATATTGAAAAGGGTTCCTAAAAAATTTTTTCAGGAAATGTTGGCGACGGGGAGAGGGGGGGGCGAAAGAGAAAAATATTCCCGTCATACCATACCGAAATTGCACGTATTTGACCAATTTTTTTTAAAAAAACATGGAAATTTCCACACAAAAAGGGCACCTTTGATGTTAATTTAGTATTTAAAGAGACATTATCTTGTACAAAAAGGGCACTTTTCATCACAAAAAGGCACTTTTAGTCCTTTCAAAAAATTAGGGGGGTGGGGGAGCACG